GGCCCTCTCTCTCTCTCTCTCTCTCTCTCTCTCTCTCTCTCTCTCTCTCTCTCTCTCTCAATGCAAAGTTTCTTGCTTTCGGTCGATTGGTGTTTCTTCTTGGATGCAATGAAATGCCGAAGTATTTCGAGAGGCTCATCCCGGAATTTGAAACCCTAACTGGGTTTGAAATATTCTTCATCGAACTGTTGTCTCGTCGGAGGTATGCTCTCTGTTCATGTCTGTTTTTTTTTTTTGGTGATTTAGCTATTTCCTCAAGATTCTATCGGTTTTATGGGATTCAATTGAATGTTTCTATCGATTGTCTTCTTGCCCTTTTCTGGGGGCATGTTATGGTTTCCATTTGAAAATTTTGTTCTACCCCTTTTGGTTTGATGTGGAATTACGTTTGTTCATCGATTCTTGTCTCCAAAGGTGGTTCAGTCTATAAACCCACTTATTATCCCAATTGAATTCGAAAATACGAAATGATAATTATAAAGTGGATTTTTCAATCATGGAGAGTTCTTTGCAATATTGAAATTGGCTTGAACAGTGTGTTGTATTGAAGCACGTTCTTTGGTCATCATGTATTTATGTTGACTGCTCCCTTAGTTCTTAGACAATAGTGCATTTGGCAACATAGATTGGTGAAATTCAAACTGGGATGATGAATGGGATGCAAATTTCATTAAAGATTAGAAGAAAAAGGACAGAAAAGGCTGTATAAAATTAAGCTATCTTTAGGCTGTATAACCCCAACCTTCTCATGGTCCAAATCATTATCTAGAATCCAGTTTTCACTTAGTGTTGTTATGTTTGCTCAATTGTTGAAGTTCATCTTAAAGAACCACACAGAAAAGGGATTTAATCACTCCTTACATGTATTTTTTTTAATGGAACTTTTGTACATGGAACAAAAAAATCTGGGGATTATTTTCTGAGTGACAATCAATTTCAGGTACTCCTGCATTTGGGTTAAATAGCTAAGGATCTGGTCATTTGTTATTTTAAATGTAGAAAAAATTGTTGGAAAGTCACTAATCTGTTCTCTACTTGCTGCTGAAATACGAGTGGGGTGTATCATGTATGTTGTTAACCGTACCAAATGTCCTTTTGTTGAGCAAGTCAGTCAAATAAGAAAACTAAAAGATAGGTTTTGTTTTATAGTAAATTTCAGCTGGCTTTTGTAATACCGACGTTTTGTGGCTGGAAATTCACTAATGGATTCCGATTGGTATGGCACATTCATGGAGAATTAGGAAACGCTACCACAGTCAATGTCAACACTTTCTGTCTTTTTGGTTGGATTTGTTCTTCTAGTCAGTTTACTCCTAAACCAATTTTTTATAAACATCATTTGGCTTTTCTTCATATTGAGTTTTAACAAAATGTTTAAGGGGCATTCCGAGAATCGAACTCGGGACCTCTCGCACCCAAAGCGAGAATCATACCACTAGACCAAATGCCCCGTTGCCGATGTAATTCAGTCAAAGAATTCTTTTTCTGAGCAACATTTTTTAGAAGCCAAGTCCTTCTTTCGTTTGCTTTCCCGAGATCTGAAGTTGTGAGATCTTACCATTTCATCAAATGCTTAGTTGTGATGCCCTTCAGTTAATATGCTAAGGATCTTGCCTCTTGTTTGGTTAATAATTGTCACTCTCTAGAATGTGATGTGAGGGAAATGTGTGTTGCGTTGCTATAGCTCATTGGTGAAGGGTCAAGGGGAAAAAGAGAATTTTTTGTGAGATAACATTTTGCTGCTGATTGAACATTGACTTTTATAAAAGTCAATGGGGCATTCCGAGAATTGAACTCGGGACCTCTCGCACCCAAAGCGAGAATCATACCACTAGACCAAATGCCCTGTTGCATTTAGAAAGCATAAGTTCTCTGAGTTTGTTTGAACAACCAGTTCGTTCTTTCTGAAGGCAAATGCCTGTGTTTCTGATGCATTTCTGTTGAAGAATTCTTTGGCTGAGCATTCTTTTTTGAGAAATTTATGTGTGATCCTTCTCCTACTGCTTCAGCTCATTAGCCATTAATGGAGATTCTGGGAGCATGCAGTTAGGATAAACAGTTGATGGTTTGTTTCTGAGATGGAGATGTATTTTCAGCTTAAACAAATCTGTGCTCTTGGATTTGAAAGCAAAGGTACATCGTGTTTGTCAAGTAAGAGATCATGTCATTCAAATGCCTGAGTCATGGCACCTTTAAGTTAAAATGCTAAGGATCTTACTTTTCTGTGTTTTGACTGTTGGAAAGATTTTTCTTAAAAGCCACTAGTCTGGTTAAAAAGTTCTCATTCTCTGAGATATGAGGGAAATATTTGTAGCTCAATTGCTGAAGCTCATCAATGAAAGTTCAACAACATAATGAAAGCTTTTTGTGAAACAATTTTGGTCTGGATTTTAGGGCATTCAGATTCAGTTCATAAAAAGTCAATGGGGCATTCCGAGAATCGAACTCGGGACCTCTCGCACCCA